TCACACACACACACACACACACGGTCAACACAATTCCCCACAGACACATAACGGAGGAAATTCCCCGATTGAATGTAGAGATGGGGGGGCGGGGGTGGTCTTGTCTCATGAACAGAGATTGAGCAGTTTGGGCCTGTATTTTCTGGAGCTTAAGTTCTGCCTTCATTGCTCAGACCCTTTGAGTGTAGGAGTTGGGACGTCATGTTGATGTTGTACAGGGACGTTGGTGAGGCCTCTTCTGGAGCACTGTGTCCAGTTCTGGTCACCCCGTTATAGGAAGGATATTATTAAACTGGAGAGGGGTCAGGAGAGATTTACCAGGATGTTGCCGGGACTGGAGGGTTTGAGTTATAAGGAGAGGCTGGATAGGCTGGGACTATTTTCACTGGAGGTTGAGAGGTGAAATTTATGAAATAATGAGGGGCATACGATAAGGTGTCTTCTCCCTAGGGTAGGGGATTTCAAGACTGGGGATATATTTTTAAGGTGCGAGAAGAAAAATTTAAAAATACATGAGGGGCATTTTATTTTACATGTTCTTGTGTGGAATGAACTTCCTGAGGATGTGGGGAATGTGGGTACAGTTACAATGTCTAAAAGACATTTATTTAGGTAAGTACATGGATAGGAAAGGTTTGGAGGGATATGGGCCAGGAGCAGGCAGATGGGACTAGTTTAGTTTGGGAAAGTGGTTGGCATGGAGTGGTTGGCTGAAGGGTCTGTTTCCGTGCTGTGTGACTCTATGACTCGATCTAACTGAGGTCTGCGAGATGCTGAAGGGGGGGTTGAGGAAGCAGAAATGAAAACAAGGATAGTAATTGCTGGAGAAACTGAGCAGGTCGGGCAGCATCTGTGGACAGACAGAGAGAGAGAGACCAAAGTTAATGTATCAGTTCTGAGGAAGGGTCACCGGACCCGAAACGTTAACTCTTGTTTTTTCCTTCACAGACGCTGCCTGACCTGCTGAGCTTTTCCAGTAACTTCTGTTTTTGTTCCTGATTTACAGCATCCGCAGCTCTTTCGTTTTTTATTTAATGTATCTGTTCCAGTTCCAGCCACGAGACCCCAAATGGTGACAGTGTTTTTCTCTCTCTCTCTCTCTCCCTCTCTCTCCACAGATGCTGCCAGACCTGCTGAGTTTCTTCAGCGATTTCCGTTTTTGTTTCTGACTTCCAGTTCCCGCAGTTGTTTTACTTCCATTGCCCAAGCAGATCCTGGCTTCGGGCATGAGCTGCTGGATCACCTCAAGTCGATGGATGCTGAGGAACTGAAAGGGAATTCTGCTCCCGCACACTGAGATCCCAGTTTGGAATATCTCTGTGAGGTATCTGCACTGGAGCCTGAGATTGCTTCTTCATTATGACACAGCAAAGCTCCTGGTACCCTGACGCACTGTAAGACTCCCTCATCCTTCTGCACAGGGCATGTCCTCAAAATACAGCTCCCCAGTCTCTCCTGGGTCATGTACCACTAGCGAGTCCGTCCTTCCCCACTCACACCAGAATCTAATAGCACGGTGATTAAAACAGATTTCATCCTTAACCCCTCCACAGTGTGGGAAACAGAGAGAAATCAGAGACAGCAGAGCAATGGATACATCAGGAGGGGGCAGGACAGGGGGTAGGGACGAGGTCTACATCAGCAGAAGAGTTGAGGGAGCCTGGAAGATCAACAATGAGGAGCGAGGTTAACTTACAAAGGTGCTGTTTTCAACCAAGGTCACGGTCTCTTGGCTCGTCACGTTCTGCTTCACCAGGCGACCATCCCGAGCTCGAATGACCAACTCGTCCCCTATAGTGAGGGATGATTCAATCAGATCGTAACGCTCCCTCTACACCATTTCCTCAACCCCCAAACACTACCAGGGACAGAGACAGCATGGGGTTGGATACAGAGTAAAGCTCCCTCTACACTGTCCCCCCACATCAAACACTCCCAGGGACAGGGACAGCACCAGGTTAGATACAGAGTAAAGCTCCCTTTACACCATTTCCCCAACCCCCAAACACTCCAAGGGACAGGGACAGCACGGGGTTCGGTACAGAGTAAAGCTCCCTCTACACTGTCCCCCCCACATCAAACTCTCCCAGGGACAGGGACAGCACCAGGTTAGATACAGGGTAAAGCTCCCTCTACACTGTCTCCCCCCATCAAACACTCCCAGGACAGTGGGTTAGATACAATGTAATGCTCCCTCTACACTGTCACCCCATCAAACACTCCCAGGACAGGGATAGCACCAGGTTACATACAGAGTAAAGCTCCCTCTACACCGTCACCCCCATCAAACACTACCAGGGACAGGGACAGCACGGGGTTAGATACAGAGTAAAGCTCCCTCTACACTGTCCCCCCATCAAACACACCCAGGACTGTAGGTTAGATACAATGTAAAGCTCCCTCTACACTGTCCCCCCATCAAACATACCCAGGCACAGGATAGCACGGGGTTAGATACAGAGTAAAGCTCCCTCTACACTGTCCCCCCATCAAACACACCCAGGACTGTAGGTTAGATACAATGTAAAGCTCCCTCTACACTGTCCCCCCATCAAACATACCCAGGCACAGGATAGCACGGGGTTAGATACAGAGTAAAGCTCCCTCTACACTGTCCCCCCCATCAAACACTCCTAGGGACAGGGGGTTAGATACAGAGTAAAGCTCCCTCTACACCGTCCCACCCATCAAACACTCCCAGGGACAGTGGGTTAGATACAGAGTAAAGCTCCCTCTACATAGATACAGCAGGATAGTTGCCAAAGACAAGTGATTTGACTCACCGCTGACCCACTGTGTCTGGGCACGGAGAATTTGGAATTCTGGAGTGCCGAGATCATCCAGTGACAGCTTCCCTTGGGAACTGGGCTCGGTGTCCTCTGTAAGAGTCAGGGAAACAGAGAGAGAGAGAGAGAGAGAGATATGTGTCAACTGTCTGGACAGCCCCTCGCTTTACCTTTCACTCTCTGTCTCTCTCCCCATTAACCCTGCTGCTCTGTTCCTCGCCAGCATTCCTGCAGGAGCCCTCATTCTAACAACAAGCTGCATTTGTATGGCAGCCTTGATACGGTATATACCCTCGACGCACAGAGCTTGGTGCGATTGTCCGACAGAAGGCAGGGATGCACAGATGAAGTGTAACTGGGCAGACCCAATGAATCATGACCATATTTGGTATGTCTTAAGGAGTTGAATAGCCTCCTCCTGTTCCTGTGTGACAGGCTCAAGGAATGGGGGCTGAATGGCCTCCTCCTGTTCCTGTGTGACAGGCTCGAGGAGAGGGGGCTGAATGGCCTCCTCCTGTTCCCTGTGTGACAGGCTCGAGGAGAGGGGGCTGAATGGCCTCCTGCTGTTCCTGTGTGACAGGCTCGAGGAGCAGGGGCTGAATAACCTTCCCTCTCTGTGTGACAGGCTGGAGGAATGGGGCTGAATGGCCTTCTCTCTCTCTGTGGTGTAATTACTGACTGCAGGGTTTGCGCAGTGCTATCTGCCTGAGGCCTGGTTGGGGTTTACCTGGAGTCAGCAGAATGATGGACAAGATGACCAGGGAGAAGATGAGGCTGATCACCAACACTGCAATCCCGATCCCTTTCCAGTTCCGGGGAGGACCACTCAATCCCGGCAGGTCCTGACAATGAGAACATCCAGTCAGTGTCTGAACGATGCTCCACAGTCACAGGGAGAATGTGGTCAGGTCAGGGAGGGGCTCTGTGTGCGTGTGAGAGAGAGGGAGTGTGTGTATGTGTGCATGCATGTCTGTGCATGTGTTTGTGTGCATGTGTGCATGAGAGGAGAGGGAGTGTGTGTATGTGTGTGCGTGTGAGAGAGAGTGAGGGAGTGTGTGTGTGCATGTGTGAGAGAGAGGGAGTCTGTGTGTGTGTGTGTGAGAGAGAGAGAGGGAGTGTGTGTATGTGTATGTGTGTGTGTGTGAGAGAGAGAGAGGGAGTGTGTGTGTGTGTGTGTGTGTGAGAGAGAGAGGGAGTCTGTGTGTGTGTGTGTGCGCGCGCGCGTGCGTGCGTGTGTGTGAGAGAGGGAGTGTGTGTGTGTGTGTGTGTGTGTGTGAGAGAGAGAGAGAGAGAGAGAGAGAGGGAGGGAGGGAGTGTGTGTGTGTATGTCTGTGTGTGTGAGAGACAGAGAGTGTGTGCATGTGTGTGTGTCTTTGTGTGCATGTGTGAGAGAGAGAGGCACAGAGTGTGTGTGAGTGAGAGAGGGTGTGAGAGAGGGTATGAGAGAGAGAGAGAGTGTGAGAGAGAGCATGTGTGAGAGAGACTGTGTGTGAGTGAGTGTGAGAGATTGTGTCTGAGAGAGACCGTATGTATGAGTGAGTGTGAGAGTGTGTGTAAGAGAGAGTGTGGAGAGAGTGAGTGTGTGTGAGAAAGTGTGCGAGTGAGTGTGACAGAGTACGTGTGAGAGACAGTGTGAAGAGAGAGACTGTGTGAGAGTGAGTATGTGAGAGAGAACAAGTGAGTCGGTGTCAGAATGAGTGTGAGAGAGACAGTGTGTGTGAGAGAGTGTGTGAGAAAGTGTGTCTGAGAGAGCATGTGTGTGTGAGAGTGTGTGAAAGAGTGTGTGTGAGAGAATGTGTGAGAAAGAGTGACAGTGAGCATGCAACTGAGAGAGAGAAAGTGTGTGTGTGTGTGATAGTGTATACGTGTATGTGTGTTTGTGAGACAGAATGCATGAGAAACAAAGTGAGACTGTGAGGGAGAATGTGTTGTCAGTCAGTGTTGAAAGTGTGTGAATATAAGAGTGTGAGAGAATGTGTGTGTTAGTGGGTGAGTGTGTGTGCGTCTATGTGTGGGTGTATAAGAGTGTTTTGTGTGTATGAAACAGAGGGATAGAGAGAGACTGACAGAGGAATAGGAAGTCGACGGGAAAGGGAGCAAAACAAGATTTGGACTTTTAAATGGTAAGGAGAGATAATTGACCAGGAGGTGGATTGGTCATGCTTTGAGAGTTGGAGAATGAACCTGACGGTGTGTAAGGGCCAGAGGAGGATGTGGGGATTCAGTGGAATAGTCAGAACGTCACTGAATATCATCTGCATCGCTGTTACCCATGACAGGACGGTGTGGAGAGAGCTTTACCTAGTGCTGCCCCTGTCCCTGGGAGTGTTCGATGGGGGAGACAATGTAGAGGAAGCTTTACTCTGTATGTAACCCTATGCTGTCCCTGTCCTGGGAGTGTTTAATGGGGGGACAGTGTAGAGGTAGCTTTACTCTGTATCTAACCCTGTGCTGTCCCTGTCCCTGTCCCTGGGAGTGTTTAATGGGGGGACAGTGTAGAGGAAGCTTTACTCTGTATCTAACCCTATGCTGTCCCTGTCCTGGGAGTGTTTAATGGGGGGACAGTGTAGAGGAAGCTTTACTCTGTATCTAACCCTGTGCTGTCCCTGTCCTGGGAATGTTTGATGGGGGGGCAGACAGAGTAGAGGGAGCTTTACTCTGTATCTAATCCTGTGCTGTTCCTGGGAGTGTTTGATGGAGGGGACAGAGTAGAGGCAGCTTTACTCTGTATCTAACCCTGTGCTGTTCCTGGGAGTGTTTGATGGAGGGGACAGAGTAGAGGGAGCTTTACTCTGTATCTAACCTCATGCTGTCCCTGTCCCTGGGAGTGTTTGATGGGGGGCAGGGTAGAAGGAGCTTTACTCTGTATCTAACCCTGTGCTATCCCTGCCCTGGGAGTGTTTGATGGGGGATGGGGGAGGGGGGAACGGTGTAGAGGGAGCTTTACGCATTGATAACTTGAGTTACACTGACAGTTTCGGTCAAAGACACTCCGTGCAGGAAGCTGTGATATAAGCAGGAAAAGGGAGAGTATCGATTTTGAGATCACCAACCTGCTCGAATGATTCACCAGGGAGGGTATGCCATCATTTCTGGTTTGATGTGAGTGAGAGGCTTTCTCACTAATTAGACCCTAAATCAATCTAAAGGCCCACCACGGCACTGTGAGTGGGGGCGGTCCATGTGGGAAATGTGTTACCGATGAATGCTCCCAGGCACCCAGTGTGAGAGCGGTGACTGTAGGAATACCCTGGAATCGAGTCACACAGAAGCACCACCCCACCCTATCTGCCCCCTCCCACAGCGAGAGAGAGAGACAGAGAGAGAGAGAGCAGGAGGGAGGGAGCAAGTGAGGCAGACAGAGAGTGAGACACACACACAGACAGAGAGAGGCAGAGAGAGAGAGCGACAAAGAGACGGACAGACAGAGAAAGAAAGACACACACACATAGAAACAGACAGAGAGAAAGAGACAGTGAGAGGGGCAGAGTGTGAGATAAAGAGACAGAGAGATAGAGAAAGAGAGAGACACACACATAGAAACAGGGACAGAGAGAAAGAGACAGTGAGAGGGGCAGAGTGTGAGATAAAGGGACAGAGAGATAGACAGAAAGAGAGACAAAGACAGAGAGAGAGAGAAAGAGGCAGAGAGAGAGAGAGAGAGAGTGTGACAGAGACAGAGAGAGAGGCAGAGAGAGATAGACAGATAGACAGAGAGGGAAAGAGAGAGAAACAGGCAGAAAGAGAGACAGACAGAAAAGATAGAGAGACAGAGACAAACAGAGAGAGGGAAACAGGGAGAGAGATCGTGAGGGAGACAGAAAGAGAGAGGGAAGGAGAGAGACCATGAAGACGGACAGAATGAGGGAGAAAGAAATACAGAGAGACAGGGGAGGCAGAGAAAGGAGATAGCGAGAGAGGGAGACAGACAGAGAGAGACAGAGTGAGAAAGAGAGGGAAACAGAGAGAAAGTGAGAGAGATGTGAGTAGAAATCTGGAGAGGAGAGAATGAAAGACTGGGAATAAAGAGAGAGAGAAAGAAATAGAGAGTGCGATGCAAAAAAGAGAGGGTGGACAAAGAGAGATAGGGAAATAGAGAGAGAGAGAGAGTGGGATTCAAGATAGTAAGACAGAGAGAGACAGAGAAAGAGAAAGAAAGAAATATGGACAGGATGAGGGAGAAAGAGGTAGAAAGTGAGAGATGGAAAAGCATCAGTGGGACCGATATCTTTGAGGCAGTAACAGAGCAAGAAAGAGAGTGAACTGCAGAGACAAATGAGACAGCAGTACAAGAGGGTGACAGGGTGGCTCAGTGGTTAGCACTGCTGCCTCACTGCACCAGGGACCCGGGTTTGAATCTACCCTTGGGTGAGGCAGGAATAGGCCATTCAGCCCCTTGAGCCTGCTCTGTCATTCTAGATCATGGCTGATCTAGCCCAAAGCCGTATTTCCCAACTATCCCTTGATATCTAGAAGCCTATCAATCCGTGTCCGGAACGTACTCAGTGACGGAGGTTCCCCAACCCTCCAAGGTAGAGAATTTACTCCTTCAAGTTTCCCCCTCATCTCAGTCCCAACCGGTCACCACCAGCCCACCAAATGAGGTGAGCTCTCACCAAGGTGCCAGCTGTCCCTCAACTCCCCTGAAGTAAAAGGGACAGAGTGTGAGGCAGATATAGACTTCGAGAGGGTGGGGACAGAATGAAAGAGAGAGATAAATGGGACAGAGAAATGGAGTCAGGAGTGGATTGAACAGCAGGGGCAGTGAAGAAGACTTTTGGGATTCTAACTTTCACCGGTCAGAGCACTGAGTATAGGAGTTGGGATGTTTTGTTGCAGCTGTACAAGATGTTGGTGAGGCCACATTTGGAGTACTGCGTGCAGTTCTGATTGCCCTGCTATAGAAAGGATATTATTAAACTGGAAAAAGTGCAGGAAAGATTTTCTAGGATGCTGCCGGGACTGGAAGGTTTGAGTTATAAGGAGAGGTTGGATAGGCTGGGACTTCTTTCCCTGGAGCGTAGGAGACTGAGGGGTGACCTTGTAGAGGTCTGTAAATTCACGAGAGGCACAGATAAGGTAGACAGCCAACAGCTTGTTCCCCAGGGTAGGGGCATCTAAGGCTAGAGGGCATGGGTTTAAGATGAGAGGGGAGAGACGCAAAAGGGTTCAGATGGTCAATTTTTTCACACAGAGGGTGGTGAGTGTCTGGAATGGGCTGCCAGAGGTACTGGAGGAGACTGGTACAATTTTGTCATTTAAGAAACAGTTAAACATTTGGGATAGGGATGGAGGGACATGGACCAAACACAGACAAATGGGGCCAGATTAATGGTGAAAACTGGACGGCATGGACAAGTTGGGCTGAAGGGCCTGTTTCCATGCTGAAGACCTCTATGAAAGAGGACCAAGAGAGAAGATGGGGGAGAGATAGAGTGTAGGAGCAGGGAGGAAAGATTGAGAGATAGGGGGAAGAATGGGAGCTGCAGTGAGTGCAGGTAGGGGCATGAAGAGAAGGGGCGGCACAGTGGCTCAGTGGTTAGCACTGCACCCTCACAGCGCCAGGGACCCGGGTTCGATTCCACCTCGGGCGACTGTCTGTGTGGAGTTTGCATGTTCTCCCTGTGTCTGCGTGGGTTTCCTCTGGGTGCTCCGGTTTCCTCCCGCAGTCCAAAGATGTGCAGGCTAGGTGGATTGGCCATGGGAAATTACCCGTAGTGCCCAGGGGTGTATGGGTTATAGGAGGATGGGTCTGGGTGGGATGTTCCAAGGGTCAGTGTGGACTTGTTGGGCCGAAGGGCCTGTTTCCACACTGTAGGGATTCTAAGATTCTAAGA